AGTTGTCACAGTTGCTCTTTGCTGATGACACTGTGCTCTTGGGAGATTCTGAAGAGAAGTTGCAGAGATTGGTGGATGAATTTGGTAGGGTGTGCAAAAAAAGAAAATTGAAAGTGAATACAGGAAAGAGTAAGGTTATGAGGATAACAAAAAGATTAGATGATGAAAGATTGGATATCAGATTGGAGGGAGAGAGTATGGAGGATGTGAATGTATTCAGATATTTGGGAGTGGACGTGTCAGCGGATGGGTCTTTGAAAGATGAGGTGAATCATAGAATTGATGAGGGGAAAAGGGTGAGTGGTGCACTTAGGAGTCTGTGGAGACAAAGAACTTTGTCCTTGGAGGCAAAGAGGGGAATGTATGAGAGTATAGTTTTACCAACGCTCTTATATGGGTGTGAAGCATGGGTGATGAATGTTGCAGCGAGGAGAAGGCTGGAGGCAGTGGAGAGGTCATGTCTGAGAGCAATGTGTGGTGTGAATATAATGCAGAGAATTCGTAGTTTGGAAGTTAGGAGGAGGTGCGGGATTACCAAAACTGTTGTCCAGAGGGCTGAGGAAGGGTTGTTGAGGTGGTTCGGACATGTGGAGAGAATGGAGCGAAACAGAATAACTTCAAGAGTGTATCAGTCTGTAGTGGAAGGAAGGCGGGGTAGGGGTCGGCCTAGGAAAGGTTGGAGGGAGGGGGTAAAGGAGGTTTTGTGTGCGAGGGGCTTGGACTTCCAGCAGGCATGCATGAGCGTGTTTGATAGGAGTGAATGGAGACAAATGGTTTTTAATACTTGACGTGCTGTTGGAGTGTGAGCAAAGTAACATTTATGAAGGGGTTCAGGGAAACCGGCAGGCCGGACTTGAGTCCTGGAGATGGGAAGTACAGTGCCTGCACTCTGAAGGAGGGGTGTTAATGTTGCAGTTTAAAAACTGTAGTGTAAAGCACCCTTCTGGCAAGACAGTGATGGAGTGAATGATGGTGAAAGTTTTTCTTTTTCGGGCCACCCTGCCTTGGTGGGAATCGGCCAGTGTGATATATATATATATATATATATATATATATATATATATATATATATATATATATATATATATATATATATATATATATATATCAATAGCAAATTGCGGCTAGCAGGGGGATCTAATTAGAGGAGATTGATATTGTTAGGGAGTTAAGAGAATAGGAACTCGACCAGAGATTTTTTTGTGTGCATAGGATATCTCTCAGTTACTTGAGTATAAGCGGTCGTTACAGAACCGTGGATGGTTGTCCCCAGGAATTGGTGGCTAAGAAAGCCGTCTCTTCAATGCAGTGCTTTGATGCTTATTCCAAGGAATTACTGCTACTCTCTCTCTCTCTCTCTCTCGGATCAAACGCAATTGCCTCCCATTCCTCTGGCGCTGTATGACACTCGTTTATCCCTTCCACATGTTTATACTACTAGTAGTAATGCTGCTATTAATAACACTACTACTAATACTAACACTACTACTACTAATGATAATAATAATATTAATAAAGGTGTGTTTATGTGGACATTTGTGAATGAGGACTGCGTGTAAGTTGAAGGTGAGCCAGCATCAGCTAGTCTAGTGGGTCAACAGGAGTCGAGGTCTTGGCCAGGATGGTGACGAGTTGAACAATTACTGACGAGTTGCAGCAGCGACTGTACCAGCCCACGGAGCCACACACATACGCACACGCTGCCAATAATGTCACCAACCCATACATACACTAAGCTCTTGTGTGTATTTACCATGGCATGGTCTGGAAATGTCTTCATCTGCCTCTTTGTTCGCTTTCTTGTATTTGATATCACCTGTTTGTGTTAAACTCTACGAGCCTGTATTTCTAGAGGTTGAACTTCAGCTCTTGGGCTCTGTCTCTTAACCAGCAGGGACCCCGTGGCCTGGCTGGCAAAACTCTCGCTTCACACGCGGAGGGCCCGGGTTCGATTCCCGGCGGGGTGAATTATTATTATTATTATAATCAAGGGGAAGCGCTAAACCCATAGGATTATACAGCGCCTGGGGGGGGATGTGGAAGGCATTCAGGCTTAATTCGGGGAACTGGAGCACATCCAATTCCCTAAATCAAGAGCCCCTCACCAACATCAAGGAACCTTCCCTGAGGGGAGGCGGGGTGAAGACATTTCCACGCGTTTCCTCACACCTGTTGTCCTGTTTACCTAGCAGCAAATAGGTATCTGGGTGTTAGTCGACTGGTGTGGGCCGCATCCTGGAGGACAAGATTGAGTACCCCAATGAAAATAAGAGTCCTCGATGACGCACTGCCTTTCTTGGGTTATCCTGGGTGGCTTACCCTCCTGGATTAAAAATCCGAACGAAATCTTATTTTAACAGCTCTCCACCCTCAGTGTTTATAGAGACTGGTGCATAAATGGTTTATATAAACACTATTTACTGAGTTACATAACAACAGCCTTACATTCTTAAAGATACGAAAGTCGTCCGAGGTTCAGTATGTACTCATCCAGGACTTTCCTGTCATAGAGAAAACAATTTAAAAGACGATCAATTAACCTTGAAAAAGGTCATTTCTGCCCACCCATGAATAGAGAACAGACATGGAGAGACACGCAGATAGTGTCTCGTAGCTCTATTGCTAGCGCACTCAGCTCACACACTGAGGTCCGTGGGTAAACCCCAGGTACGGGTGGAGACATTAGGACGTGTTTCCTTAACACACCTGCTGTCCATATTCATCTATTAGTAAAATAGGTACCTGGGTGTGCGGTCGCATGCTAGGGACAAAACTGACGTAATTTGCCTGAAATGCTCTGCATAACAAGGGACTTTATATATAGTAGAAAGTCATTATATAATAATAAGCAGAATAATCTTTATTTCTACAAGTACATGTACAAGGTATACAGTCCTAGCAGACATCAGTGACATACTACTATATAGCAAGCCCTTTATTATGCAGAACATTTCGGGCAAATTAGGTCAATTTTGTCCCAGGATGCAACCCATACCAGTCAACTAACACCCAGGTACCTATTTTACATATTATGGGTGAACATTGGACAGCAGGTACCTTAAGGAAACACATCAGCCAGGTCTGTGTACCTTGTACACGTACTTGTAGAAATAAAGATTATTATTATTATTATTATAAAGTCATACAGCATATATGGTCCAATGAGTTTCATCACCATTGTTCAGATATAATGAGTACCAAGACACTATTGTATTCAAGTGGAACTTCATAAGTTCTTCCAGATAATTCCTGATGAGCCGAGCTGTTATACCTATGCTGGGCTCCGTGCCACCAGCACCAACAGCCTGACTAAAACTTATATTAAAGCTACTATTAAACATCTAGAGAGGGAGCTTTGGGATACGTGTTCAAACATCCATTATTACTCATAACATCAAAAATTGGTTAAAGTGTTTTTTTTCTATATTTTAGAGTTTTTCTTATAGGGTAAAATTTATAAAAAGAGTAGTAATAACAGGTGTCTTCGTGTACAGATTATAACATACGGTAACTATTGGCCAAAAATAAAAAGAAAAGAGTTACGGCTTTAGCGACTGCTGGCTCACAAGAAAGCCAAGCCAGCAGCGACCACTGGCCTAAAGGAGAGCCAAGCCAGCAGCGACCACTGGCCTAAAGGAGAGCCAAGCCAGCAACAACCACTGGCCCAAAGGAGAGCCAAGCCAGCAGCAACCACTGGCCCAAAGGAGAGCCAAGCCAGCAACAACCACTGGCCCAAAGGAGAGTCAAGCCAGCACCAACCACTGGCCCAAAGGAGAGCCAAGCCAGCAGCAACCACTGGCCCAAAGGAGAGTCAAGCCAGCACCAACCACTGGTCCAAAGGAGAGTCAAGCCAGCAGCGACCACTGGCCCAAAGGAGAGCCAAGCCAGCAGCGACCACTGGTCCAAAGGAGACCCAAGCCAGCAGCGACCACTGTCCAAAGGAGAGTCAAGCCAGCAGCGACCACTGGCCCAAAGGAGACCCAAGCCAGCAGCAACCACTGGCCCAAAGGAGAGTCAAGCCAGCAGCGACCACTGGCCCAAAGGAGACCCAAGCCAACAGCGACCACTAGCCTAAAGGAGAGTCAAGCCACCTCCAACCACTGGCCCAAAGGAGAGTCAAGCCAGCAGCGACCACTGGCCCAAAGGAGACCCAAGCCAGCAGCGACCACTGGCCTAGAGAAGAGCCAAACCAGCAGCGACCACTGGCCCAAAGGAGAGTCAAGCCAGCAGCAACCACTGGCCCAAAGGAGAGTCAAGCCAGCAGCAACCACTGGCCCAAAGGAGAGTCAAGCCAGCAGCGACCACTGGCCCAAAGGAGAGTCAAGCCGGCAGCGACCACTGACCCAAAGGAGAGTCAAGCCAGCAGCGACCACTGATCCAAAGGAGAGTCAAGCCGGCAGCGACCACTGGCCCAAAGGAAAGTCAAGCCAGCAGCAACCACTGGCCCAAAGGAGAGTCAAGCCAGCAGCGATCACTGGTCCAAAGGAGACCCAAGCCAGCAGCAACCACTGGCCCAAAGGAGAGTCAAGCCAGCAGCGACCATTGGCCCAAAGGAGACCCAAGCCAGCAGCAACTACTGGCCCAAAGGAGAGTCAAGCCAGCACCAACCACTGGTCCAAAGGAGAGTCAAGCCAGCAGCGACCACTGGCCCAAAGGAGAGCCAAGCCAGCAGCGACCACTGGTCCAAAGGAGAGCCAAGCCAGCAGCGACCACTGGTCCAAAGGAGAGTCAAGCCAGCAGCGACCACTGGCCCAAAGGAGAGTCAAGCCGGCAGCGACCACTGACCCAAAGGAGAGTCAAGCCAGCAACGACCACTGACCCAAAGGAGAGTCAAGCCGGCAGCGACCACTGGCCCATAGGAAAGTCAAGCCAGCAGCGACCACTGGCCCAAAGGAGAGTCAAGCCAGCAGCGACCACTGGTCCAAAGGCGGACCACGCCATCAGCTACCGCTGGCTTACCAGTAAGCTTCTTATCCAGGTAATCTCTGAGCACACAGCCGCCAGTGATATATAAGCCAGGGTGGCGTTTCCAGCAGTCTCAGTGCCTGCACTACTTGTGAGATCTACTGTTCTCTTCCAGTCCCCCTCATCATGCGTCATTCAGTCACTCTTTTAGTAAGTTTTCCCTCAAACCTTTTCATTCTTCCATCTTGATATGTAATGTAAACAGATACTTATTTACATTTTAACTGTAAAGAAATTTGGAGTTGCATATATTATGTGATATTTAAAAAACTGTTGGAATGATTTACACTACTAGGTTAATAACCCAGAGTATCCCAAGGAAGTCAAGCAGTGTGGCTTATTTACGTTGGGCTAACTATCAACGATACTTCATGCAGTATACATTTACTGCTAGGTGACAACAGGAGAGGGTGCATGCAATGAGGACACCGCAGATCTCCAAGCTGATATAAACCTGGTCTTCCAGTGGGCCACAGAAAACTATCATGTTCATTGTTTGTAACTGCGATATGAAAAAAATTGAGGAAATAAAAACTAAAGTAGATTATGAAACTAACTCTAAACACTCAACGGAGATAAAGACTAATGTGAGGGGCTTTAGAGTGATGATATCAGAGGATATTACTTTCAAGTACCGCAACAATATCATTCTCAGACCCCTAGGAAAATAAGATGGATAACTAGAACCTTCACAGCAAGAGATGCCAAGCCAGTATACCTGGAGAGGGTTTTGGGGGTCATCGCTCCCGCGGCCCGATCTGAGACCAGGCCTCGTGGTGGATCAGGGTCTGATCAACCAGGCTGCAACTGCTGGCCGCACGCAAACTGACGTACGAACAGCAGCCCGGCTGGTCAGGTACTGACTTTACGTGCCTATCCAGTGCCTTCTTGAAGACAGCTAGGGGTCTATTGGTAATCCCCTTATTTATGCTGGGAGGCAGTTAAACAGTCTTGGGCCCCCTGACACTTACTGTGTTTTCTCTCAGTGTACTCGTGGGGTCCCTGCTTTTCATTGGGAGAATGTTGCATCTCCTGCCGAGTCTTTTGCTTTCATAGGGAGTGATTTTCCTGTGCAAGTTTGGTACTAATCCCTCTAGGATTTTCCAAGTGTATATTGTCATGTATCTCTCTCCCCTGCGGTCCAGGGAATACAAATCAAGGGCCTTCAACCATTCCCAGTAATTTAGGTGCCTTATCGTATTTATGTGTGCTGTGAAAGTTCTTTGTACACTCTCCAGGTCAGCAATTTCGCTTGCCTTGAAGGGGGCAGTTAGTGTACAGCAGTATTTCTGAAGTTATTTGTTCTCTCTTGACTGGAATGTTACTGTAAACTAACATCTTTTAATTAAGGAAAGCGAAATTGCAGACTCTAGAGAAACTCTAGAGTCTGAAATTTCTAACTCTAATTGTAACTCTAAAGAAACCTTCACTACTGTAGAATTCAGTCAAGCACCTAAATTACTGGGAACACCTGAAGTCCCTTGAATCTTAGTTCTTGGAACGTAGGAGTGGAGGATACATCATAATTTACACTTGGAAAATTCCTGATGGATTGGCCCCGAATTTGCACGTTGAAATCATTTCCTACTAATGCAAGAGGAGCGGCAGATGGTTCAAAATACCCCCAGTAAAAATCAGGGGTACCATGACTCTTCAACACACTTCCTTTATACATATAGGGAATTGTCAGCAGATACATTTCCGTCTTCAAGAGAGAACTTGAAAAGTTTCTTAAGTCAGTTCCTGATCAGCCGGGCTGCGGTGTGTACACTGGACTTGGTGAGGCCATTAATAACATCCAAGTTAACCAGGCCATCTACCACTAGGTCTGATCCGAGACGAGGTAAACGTCAGGCAAACATTATAAAAAATCACTTAGTATCCAGATAAGGATAATATCCACCACCATGGGCGTCTGCTAGAATTTTCCCAGGGACCATGCACTTGTTTTTAATACAAGTATAATAATCCAGGGTTAAAAGCGTTTTTTTCCCCTTGAGAAGCAAGGGGACAGGCAAGCAGGCTAAAAGCTCAAGGTAATTGTTTTTCCCTTGACACAGGTTGGTTGGTTAATTGGGTTTATGCTACACAAATTGTCATTAAGGCTGCATGTAGCCTGCTCGCCAACAGTCAAGAATACTTTAATCCCTAATGTATATATAGGTTAAAGTAAACTCTCAGTATATTTACACTGATAGAGACACCACTCGGTGTATATGGTGTGTGACGCGCCTGATACAGGGACTAAGAGAGACACACACCACTCGGTGTATATAGCGTGTGACATGCCTGATGCAAGGGGATTTAATCCCTCCCCCCTCTTGCTCCCTCAGTGGATGCCCATGTCCACTGCAAAATAAATGCGCATTCAATGTAGACTTATATATTTATCAATTTCAGAAAATAATAAAAATCCGCTATTAAACTATATTTTTAAAAAAAATAAAGAAACAAAACATATAAGTGTTTTAAAGGTTATGATGTTTTAAATCATTGAATTCTTGACCCCCGAAACTCTCTCCAGGTAAACTCCAGGTAACATTAGTTATTTGCTTTTTTTTTTAACTTGTACTAGTATATGTAGTTCTATAACAATGGTGTATGACTGATGCTATAACAATAACCATGGCTATACAACACCAGGGAGGATTATGACACTAAATAGATGACTATCTATATAATACTAGTGTAGATGTGTATGACAATAAACGTGTGAGCATCGCTCATCGTGTCAGGAGGAAGGAACAGTTGGAGCCCAGTCAAAAGTGTGCTAAAACGTGAATAATGCTGGTGTAACTAGTGTCATATAGCCAGCTACAGTTTCCCTGTACATATGTGCCCTTAAGAAGTGAGATAGATCACATGATTCCCTCTCTGAAAATAAACAATATAATTAAATATTTAAATCCCTGCTCTGTGAGCCTCTACATCCGTATTGATCGAAATAATCATCTTTATTTCTTAAATATTCAAAGTGTGCATCATACGTGATGAACACGTGTAATGTTACAGTTACTGTATATGATTTATATTATGTGTCAGGTAGTGGGGTTGGCTAGTGTGGTGATGGCTCGCTATGCACCCACCAGAGACCACAATCAGGACTGGCTCTCCCTCATATCCGGCAAGCAACAGCTCAAAGATGCTCGCATCATCTACACGCTACTCAAGAATGATCCTGACTTCTATATGGGCAAGAAAGGTCAGTCATCTTCACCTTATTGTCACCTTGTATTATCTTAGCTTCATAACTTATTATTGTTGTTAGTAGTAGTAGCAAAAAAATCATGGGGGAAGCACTAAATCATTAAAGGTCATACAGTGCCTGGGTGATGAAAGGTTTGTGGGTAATCAAATTTTATGCGAGGACGGGGAGGGTAACTCCAATCCCATTGGTGGGCCGGTGGCCTGGTGGCCTGGTGGCTAAAGTTCCCACTTCACACACGGAGGGCCCGGGTTCGATTCCCGGCACGTTTCCTTACACCTGTTGTCCTGTTCACCTAGCAGCAAATAGGTACCTGGGTGTTAGTCGACTGGTGTGGGTCGCATCCTGGGGGACAAGATTAAGGACCCCAATGGAAATAAGTTATACAGTCCTCGATGACGCACTAACTTTCTTGGGTTATCCTGGGTGGCTAACCCTCCGGGGTTAAAAATCCGAACGAAATCTTATCTTATCCCAGTATCATGCACCTTCCCCTCCCCACCTTCCCTGGAGGGTGGTTTGCCAGATGTTAGTTGTCTTTGTTGGTACATTATTTTCACGTTGTCTGCTAGAGATAAAACCTGCTGAGCCTTCATCTGTCTGCTCATTGAAGCATATGACAAATTCGTTTCATTTTTCGAGTTCTGCGTGGTTATTTAATACGGGGATATATTTATCTGATCGAGCAGCAACCGAGAGACATTTGGTTTTATTTATTTTAAGTAAATTTAATGGCAAGACTAATTTGACTCGCTTTCTCTCAGAAAACCAAGGGTTTGACAGTAGCGAGAAGGACTTCCAAGGCTTCCAACACCCCTTCTACTACCACCAGAAGCAGCAACAGGGACCTTCCAGGGAGCCTTTCGTCTTCAGCAGGCTGGGGAACTTAGGACCCATGGACACACAAACCGTAGTAGTGGAAATCCCCTTCAGACACGGACGCCTTATTGGGGAAGGAAATCTTGGAGCTCAAGCCCCTTCTCATCCTATGAAGGATAACCTTCTACCAGGAACTGTGTAAAACACACAATAACCTTAGTAGTATTGAACCTAGAATTATTCGCTGTTTACCCTTCGGTTTTCATCTGTAATATTGCCACTAACAATCTTTCAAGGGATATTCTCATATTTAAGGTGGTAGGCTTCGACTAGATAATGTCAGTGCCCCTGGAGAGGATGGCACTCATACCTTGCCATAAATAGTTAATAGAGGCTGTATTAAATATCCAGTTCCATGGTTTTATATATGAAGCTGCGTTAACATTAAGTGTTTCCCTTTATCTACAGGATTATATCATTTTACAGTACTCCATATACTTCTATCAAGTGGGATGGGTCCTTTGCTTTGTAAACTATCTCTCCCACCACTCGACTATAGCCACGTTAAGCAAAAAAAATCATAGGCTATAAATCTATCTTTTGTCTGCCCTCTTATATGCAAGTAAGCACTGAACAATGGCTATAATTGATTTTCACTTACCGTCATTGAGCCGATTGGAGACTTCATCATACTTCTGGACACTTTCATTCGAGTAACCCACATTTAGTAGTACATAACGCAAAAATTTTCGGCCTACATGAAACCCTCCTCAAGTAGACTGCAAGTACTATGTGCGTTTTATTAAAGTACCGAATGTGGATTACTCGACTGTATTACCCATACTGTCTATGTATGGTTCACTTAGTCTGGACACTTAGAAATAACTATGACTACGGTTGTAATTTTTATTACTTTGCAAGCACATGAGGCTCCTAAGTGTTAACTACTGTATTTCGAAGATACCAGTGGATGACAAAAATTAAATGACATTTCATGAAAATGTGGAGGAAACTATAAATATTGTAACATGCAAATTATTTAATATGTGAACATAAGACACTGTTATATAGAAAGGTTGTTATTGTCATAATATAAAAGGCTGGTGAAAGAGCATTATCTATGTTTTAAGTTTATAATAGGAATTTAAATGAGGTCATAATATAGAGCATACAAAGGCCAATGTTTCAATTTATGAAGATTTAATACGATTCAAGTACTAGGCTGCATCACTAATAGAAAATGGTGGCAATAAATGCTGTCTGTTATAGTTAAGCCTATAGTAACACTTTAAAAAAGGCTATAATGAAATGATAGACACAAGTACAAATGGGATTAAATCATACTTTACTAAATCTTGTTTGAAATCTGGGAACTCCTCTTGCAAGTAAAAAATAAGCTGTAGAAAATGTGTATTACAAAAGAGAATTATAATTGTATAAGTGTTTAATGACAAACAAATATAGAAATACAAATGTTCTTTGTCGTTTTACCCTCAGACACCAGACCCCTCAAGGAAGGTTCCTTGATGTTGGTGAGGGGCTCTTGATTTAGGGAATTGGATCTGTGCTCCAGTTCCCCGAATTAAGCCTTCCACATCCCCCCCCCCAGGCGCTGCATAATCCTCCGGGTTTAGCGCTTCCCCCTTGATTATAATAATAATAATAATCAGACACCAGAGATGAAGAAATAATATTTCATCTTTGAAAACCTGATAGCTGCGTTAAATATGGCAGATGAAAGTAATTTCTTAAAGACTATCATACACAGAGTGTATGAAGTGAGGGTACATCTCTGTTTGATAACCCTTCTCTTGGTTTATTAGGTATCCCCAAAGGAATATCTTTGAGAGATGGCTCGAATTTTTCTCTTCCTCTCGATTTTATTTATTTTAGCTCGAGAACGCCTCGTTCAATCGAATTCAAATTTTCACCATTTGAAATGCCTCAGAAAATTTCAAACTCCTCGGTGGCGTAGAATGGGAAGAGACATTCTTTTGATATCCTTCATATCTTTAACACTAATATTTAACTGCATTATCAACTCATGCCGCACTCTGCACTATTCCAATCGTGTGCACTGGGGACCAGGGGAATATGGGACATACCTTTCTCAGATTACGCAACGACTGAAATACATCTAGTTGCTTTTGTTATTCCTTGATACTGTGAGCAATCACAAAAGGCCTTAGATATTACTGTTTTTTTACTCTGTGGATATATCGATTATTTATATATCACCTGCAGTGTGGTAGGGACGTCTCGGTCTGTCGAGTGTCTTGAGCATCAGTGTCATTTTTTCCTGTTTTCTTTCCCTGGAACATTTGTCTTTATTATACGCTGCCCACTGCTGGACAACTAGTCAGTGAGCCATACATCAGCTCTATCATTCTATGCCAAGGGAAACCTGGTTCAGTTGGCAACGCTCTCGCCTCATACTGAGTGTCCGTGGGTCAATACCCGGCCGGGTAGAAACATTGGACATAATTTCCTTACACTTGTTGTCCCTGCTCATCTAGCAATAACTGGTGTTGGTCGCATCCTGGGGATATAATAATAATAATAATATCTTCATTTCTACAAGTATATGTACACGATATACAGTCCTAGCTGACGTACTACTATATAGAAAGCCCTTTAAATTATGCAGAGCATTTCGGGTAGATTAGGTCAATTTTGTCCCAGGATGCGACCCACACCAGTCTACTAACACCCAGGTACTCATTATTACTGATGGGTGAACATAGACAACCGGTGTAAGGAAACACGCCCAATGTTTTTACACCTTTGCCGGGAATCGAACCCGGACCCTCACTGTGTGAGGCGAGAGCTTTGCCACTAGGCCACGGGGCACCATTACAAGACCCCAGTGGAAATAAGACAGACAGACCTCGATGATGCATTGATTTTCTTGGGTTAACTTGGGAGGTTAACCTGGGGTTAAAAATTCGAAGAAAATCTTATCTCCCCCTGGTTAAAAATCCGAGCAAATCTTAATGAGTCAGTTGGAGATAGTTGTACATGGCATTATGGCTCTGCCTGGGTTTAGTTCACTTATTAGGGCTCTGGTGGCCTGGTGGCTAAAGCTCTCGCTTCACACGGCGAGGGCCTGGGTTCGATTCCCAGCCAGAGAAGAAACATTGGGCGTGTTTCTTTCTACTTGTTGCCTATGTTCCCCATCAGTAAAATGGGTACCTGGGTGCTAGTCGGCTGGTGTGGGTCGCATCCTGGGACACTGACCTAATTTGCCCGAAATGCTCTGCATAACAAGCGGCTTTACCTGGAGAGAGTTCCGCGGGTCAACGCCCCCGCGGCCCGGTCTGTGACCAGGCCTCATGGTGAATCAGAGCCTGATCAACCAGGCTGTTACTGCTGGCTGCACGCAATCCAACGTACGAGCGATATAGTAGTGTCATTGATGTCAGCTAGGCCTGTATACCATGTACATGTACTTGTAGTAAATAAAGATAATATTATTAGTAGTATTAGTATTAGTATTATTATTTATAATTACCGCCGAGATGTAGGCGACATATTCTTTTCCCGACACATGGGAAGCAGCCCAGCAGGGGATGCTGCGTCAGCCTTCGTCGAGTGTGGACGTCTCTCTCTCGCCTGAGCATCAGTGACAAATTTCCCCCGTTCTCACTGGGACGCTTGTTTTCATCTATTTTGCCCGCCGGGCACTCTACAGGAGGGGCACCTGTTCATCGACTTACTTTAACCAACTCCATTTTTTCCGCTCTGCGGAAAATTCTTTAACGGTCTTTGGTGGGAAGCCGGTTACTGAACTCAGGTGGGGGTGTTGGCGCCCCTCTCTGCTGGGGCTTGGCGAGGGGGACCACCGGATCTAATTGGAAACTTCAAGTTTCTATCTCTATTTACAAAGGAACTTTTGTTCCTTTTCTCTCATTACCCAGCTTTGGGCAACAATTTTTTCTGGTCCCATCGAGAAACCGGGCTCGATACAGCGTATGGTGTCAGTGGCCCTGACAAACCCAACAAAGAAAGAAAACAGCCAAGCAGGGCTCAGTAAGACGTAGTTTTTGTCTATTCTGTCTGCTGGTCACGTCACTGGAGAGTAACCATTCATCAGCTCCATTTTTTCCTCAGGATATTTGATGGTTTGCAGTAAGATGTATCTTTCCTCTCATGTGATGACAGCCTTAACATTAAGGGCTTTCAAATTAGTCTTCGTATTGTTTTTGCTTTTAAATTGAGAATGTCATATTCATCAGTGATAATTCAAGCTGTGCCTTCTAGTCGTAGCTTGTATTACTACTTTTGTCATGTTTGCTGTGGTTGAACTCAGTTTTGTAATACAATCTTTATAAACACTATTTTTAGTGTGTACTAAGACAAACAATAAATTCCACGTCCATTCTGCAATATTTAAAAAAAGTTACGTATCTGATAGTCAAGTAGCATCTGAGTGAATGTAAATTTTGATAGCTTTGATAATTTTTAAAGTGATAGACCAAATATTAGAGATTAAGTGCTCCAGACTTTGGTTTTGAGAAATGTTTATGGCTTTAGCTAATCAGTATGAAGGATACATGGTTAATAAGTGTGTTTAGGTACAGGTACACAGATACAATTATAATACCAAACAACATGTGTAAATTACCTAGGATAACCCAAAAGAGTCAGACTCAGTGACATATCAAATCAGTGCTGGCACATTTTTGTGAGGACCCAGAAAATTTAATAATTTTTATTGTCTACTACTGTGCTATATTTTCTTAACTGTAACTGTAACAGTGTGCATTATTATTATTATTATTTCACTCATGGCAGTAGCACTAAACTCATAGGGGGGGGTCATGGTAATCAGGTCAGGCCCAATTCCCTTGACCAGGCACCTCCCTTGAGGGGTTCCTATCTAGGACTAAAAGGTGGTTATATGCTGGTATTTTAACAATACTGTACATTCATGTTGAAGTTTGCACCAGATTTTTAAGGGGCCTTGATGTGCAACAAATTACCAGATATCCATTTCCTTCCACAGTCATCTATTTTTCCTTTATGCACAATCCAGTTTTGGAGAAAAATTTCTTGCTTTGTTAAAAGGCCAAAATGGTGCTTTTACTGGAAAGAATTAGGTTTGGTAGCTGAAAGAGGATATTCTTTCTTTGATGCTGGTGAAGGGCTCTTGATTAAGAAAATTAGAGCTACCCTCCCCTTCCTTGGATCAGACCTAATAACATTCTATTCCAATTGTAATGTATGATCCTTATGGGTCTTGTCACTGGTTTATATAAGGCTTTAGCATCTTGTTAGTAAGATATACGATTCCTGCTTCCTTAATCAAGGTTGTGTAGTGGCATAAATTGCCAAATTTCTTTGTTATTTATCCAGTAGTTACTGATACATTGGAGTTTAAAAGTCTCTTGTTGATGGATTTCAGTTCCTCTATCCTGTTAAGCTTGATGGAAGAGAAGTTATCAGTGCCAGGTAAGGTAGTGGTATAATCATGGGGAAACATTAAATTTGGAGCAATTGTACGGCACCTGGATAATGAGGTAATCAGGTTGTATCCTAGGAAGGGAAGGGTAACTCCAATTCCTTGGCTCAAAAGCCCCTTCATTGGTACCAAAGAATCTTTTTTGAAGAACAGGTTATAAATTGACCAATTGTAATGGTCATGTAGTGCCTGAGGAATGGCAGGCATTAAAGTTTGATCCAAGGAATTGGGAGCTAAATTTAGTTCCTTAGATTAAAAAGTCCATCTTGGATCGACTGACATGCTCAAAAGTAATGTGAAAATTTTCAGCTCTCTGTAAAGTAAGGAGTTTCTTGTAACCAACTTTTGTCTGTTATGAACACATCTACACAAACAATTACAGGTTAAGGCTGTTGTCTAATTTTAGTTGGTGTCACTTTAATTTTATACATTGATTAGCTTTTCAGTAACTTAATTAGATATAGGCTTCAATGTGATAAAGTAATGCATGTCATTGGTTGGAGCAATTTTTTTTCTTGGGGGGGGGGGAGAGATAAAATATTCCATATTGTATATTTGTTAAAGCATTATAACTGTTCAGTGTATCACCAGACAATCAGTTCACATAGCAGTCTGCTAATCATAATTTTCTTTTATTCAATTGTTACAATAATATTCTAATAGGCATCAGTTAATGTTCAAAGCACTGTACTGGATAAAGTGTTTGATGTAACAAATCAAAATTAGCTTATACTTGCCTAAATACTTAAGATGTTAAAATTTAACAAAACACTTGTTAGGTCAATAGGAATTTGTAGTGAGGTAACAGGGCTACTCACAGTGGTTTCTCACTGATGATGCAAAGTCTGTGTCTGTGTCTGGTTAATATTAAGTTGTATATGTCACAAATTATTTGTGCCTGTTTTTATTTTTATACTGCCCAAAGTTATGTAAAATTCTCATGAATATTTACTTCACAACATGGCATTGTATAATATCAGTAGTAAGATGTAGTCCCTATTTTA